GTTCATTTCGGTTAGTGCTTATTAATTCAAATTAGGTTTTAATTTTCAATTTTAACTATTATATATCAATCTTTCTTCCAGCGATCTTCAACCTCAAGTGATATCCTTGACTTCGTTATCAAAAACAAGACACGTTATGATGCTTTTTTTAAAACTGAACTTGATTCCTTACTCAATTCTCTTGGTATTGAGACACTCATAATCGCTGGTGCAGAGACAAATTTATGTTGTGAAGCAACTGCAAGAAGTGAGTACATTTTAATGAATTATGGAGGAAGGTTAAGGGTGATTAATGGTATTATTCCACAATATATGATTCGGTCTGTACGAGAAGTGGTATGTGAGAGTGAATGTGAACAATTGATGATTATAATTAATCTCTGTTAACCTTCCTTCATAATGTATATAATTATGCAAGGTGAAAAGTTTGTTTGATGGTTTGATTATTCATTCACATCAATATTCTACAAATTCTAAGGTGGTTTTGACCATGATTATAACATTATTTTTCTTAAAGATGCAACTGCCACTGAGAACGATGAGATGCATAAGGTAGAAACAATTTCTCGTAAAATCCGTTATCTTTTTTTTACTTAGATCTAATAAAACTTTTTCTTGTTTATAAAGGCAACTTTGCGCAATTTAAAATATGGAGTGGCCAAAATCTCTACTGTTACTGAGGTTATTGAATGGCTTGACAAACGTTAATTGCTTTTTAGGTTAATCAAATTACTTCCTCAAAGTTTATGATGGTGAAAAACATCCAAATATTTATTTTCTCATTATACGATCCTGATGGAACATTTTAAATTTGGTCTAAATTAGAACTAAGACAATATATTTATTCGATACTGTATTTTGATTAGCATTTATTTTGTAAAAATAAAGTAATGCTTTTTGCAATATTTCTTTATAATATAATTAAATTAACAAATTCAATAAGTTATTATCTATATACTTCCTATGTGAATTGTTTCACACTATGTAAATTTACAATATATAACATAAATTAATTTTCTTCAGGTAGCATGAGATCAAACTGACGCGTTCTGTAATCTGTAAAAGAAAATGGGAAATTTAGATCGCATGCAAAATCAGTTGGTTTACAATATACAATTCTAAAACATACCATTGACCATAGGAATAGTTGGTAAACGGCGACTAGTGTAAATGGCCGATTGGTTAACTAGTTGTGATATTTCTCGTACGGGATTAACTAAATTAATTTCATCAGCGGCTTTAAATTGATTCACAAAGTTCTTATCTGAACCTTCAAACCAAATTTGCAGTGTATCTACTATGTATTCTGCCGTAAGACGCTTCATTGGATCAGAATTCCAACATAGTTTCATAAGTTCCATATAGCAGATTGGGGTTCCTTCAATCGGCTTTGGACGCAAACCATTAGAAATACTAATTGCCAAATCAATATCATGTGGACATTCAAGATATGGCAATTGAAAAGAGGTGAATTCCCACATAATAATTCCAAAACTATAAATGTCCGCAGCTTGGGTATATGGTTGTTCACATAACACTTCGGGAGCAACATATGGCAACACTCCGCTAACCTCAGTAGAAGTTTGTAAATTTTTTTCTCGAGACTGTCCTAGGTCAGCAATGCATGCGATAGGATCAACAAGAACATTGCCACCATGAAGATCTCTATGTACAAGGTTAGCATTGTGAATATTTCGGAGATCTCTAGTAAGCTGCAAAAGCATGTCCAGCTTCTTTGACCAATTAAGTTTATACGAATGGTAACGAAAGTAATGACGCAGGTAGCCTTCTTTGTAAAAATCTGTAACAATCATATACTTCTTGGTATTGGGATCTTGTGTAACTCCATAGCACTCAAAGC